GCGAGGTCAATGGTCTAACGACTACGGCATGCACGACTATGAGTACACCCCCCCCCAAGTTGGTGTGTGATGTGTGTGAGGTGTGTGAGGTGTCTGTCCCTATCTCTGCCTCGTTGTGTTTGTTTTATCTATATTCCGCGTGAAAAGAACGGAGGTGCTCCGCATCGAAAGACATGATGCGTGTGCAAAAAAGGTTTCACACGGTTCAGGAGTGACTTCAAAACGAATGAGCCACGACCCCCCCCCCCCCCCCCCCCCCCCCCCCCCCCNCCCTTGTACTGCGCCCGCCCCCTTTCCGCCGGTCTGCAGTTTTCCATCTGGGACTGGGACCCCGTGGGTGAGAACGAACTGGTCGGGGTTTACTACGGAAAGCTGCGGCACATCGAGAACACAATGAAGGAAACGAAGGGCCGTGTGACTTGTAGATGGTGAGATATCAGTATGAGCAGTCGAAGGCCTCAAAAATCCCCCCAAACTCGCAAACAAAGGTGAAACGCTCCTTCATCGGCTGCCGTTCTGTTGTTGTTGGTATTCAGGCAGCAATAGCCGTTCCGTTCGGTCCTTCTTCTTGCGGTGCTATTGCTGTCGCTGTCGTTGCTTGCATAGCTGGTGGAGTTGTTCCCCGCAGTAAGATCAGCAAGAGACGTTGTGTACTATATAACACATCCGAGAAGGAGTGTACCGGTACATATTCCCCCGAAACACGCAAAGGCCGGTCGCGCGCACAACAGCAACGTTTCGTTCTGCCCCCGGTCGCGACCCCTACGCAAACGCGAAATCCGCGCAACAACGGTTCCTTCCGCTCTCTCACCACGACAACACCAGGGTGAACCTATACGGACCGCCCCTGCACATCCCGGAGACCCGTAACCTGAAGGTGCTTACGAGGAGGGCGGCCACGCTGGGGCTAGGGGCGCAGACGGACCACCTGCACCAGTACCTCAACTTCCCCGATAAGGCGTCAACCTACCGCGGGCGAGTGCTGGTGATGGAGAGGATCGTCCCGCATGCTCCCAAGGCTCACGAAAAGGACAAGGTGAGGGAGAAGGAGGAGGAGGACATCCAAGAGGAAGGGGGGGGGGGGGGGGG